AGCTCTCCGAGTAGGGCTTTGGGTTACTGTCCGAGAGAAGTGCAGCCAGCCGCTTCAGCTACGGCTTCAAATAAGGCAAAGGCTGTGCTGTCAAGTTGCTGAGCCTGCTCATCTTCCATTCCTTTGAGAATAATCAGGAAAAGTTTAGAAACACAATTACATGGGGGAGAAGGCATGCAGACCCTGGTTCCCCCCTTGAATAAAACATATTTCCTCTATTCCCACTCCTACCCAATTCTTCCAGCCACTTGGGTGGACAAGCTCACCACAGACAGTGACTCAGTGTGGGACACTCCTTCCAGAAGATACTGGCCAAAGAGGCACTAGAAAACTCTGCACTCCAAGTTGAGGCAGGAGCCCAAACTGGACCCCACAGAGGGTGGCCTGAAGCTGCAAGAATACGATTGCACAACCACGAAAACGCCAGCCAGGAGGGGGGGGGCAGAGGAAGTGGTGTCTGGGATTCCTTATAGGTACCTGGTTGAACAAGGAAAACATTAGCCTTATATCTTGCAATACTCATGTCTGTCACTTCCCTTCCATTCTAAAAGAAAGCCGAATTTGAAACAAACAACACAGCAAACCATGCCTAAGAGCCATATCATCTCAGATTCATATTTCCCAACAGGCTTTCTAGTTCTCCATAAATAATATCCTTGCTCACTCTTCTCCCCCGCTAATAATTGGGGGGAGGGGTAATGTCTAGAGAGACTGGGGACATTCGATCAGAATCCACCGAAGCTTCTCACAACTCTCTTGTTTATAGAAAATGAATGGTCTGCCTGGCTTGCTTTTAGTTTAGAAAAGGGGTCAGTCTTTATTGGCACACGTCACAAGATCCTGGACTTTCCCCCCCTCCCTTATCTTAAATTGACCCGCTTTTAAGATAAAGACATAATAGACAAAGCATTGACCTTACCTGGTCCCTAATGAGTTGGAAGTCAGAAAACCCGCTCTCATTTCCTCTTATCTCGGATCGTCTGAGAAGAGACTGGAGCTATCTTTTGTGCACTCGCCCCTGCAGCTAGCTCTTCACCGACGCCCATAAGCCGGCTAGCGCTCTGGGAGAGTGTTGCGGCCTTCGAAGTCTGAGAATTCTTCTCTGGGGTTTCTAAATCGAAGACCTGGCTTCGAAACCTAGGCCTCACCCTGCCTCAGGAGGATTCAAAAACGCTGGAAGGCTCCGGAGCAAGTCTTCCTCTTTCAAAGGCCAATCCCTAGCAGTGGCGAGAAGAGCTGCCTCCTGCCAGGCCCTTGCACTGGCGCGCGCGCCGGCCTCCCCTGCAGGAGTAAGCAGTAGGAGCGTTCCCCGCAGAGCTGACTGCGGCCTGGCTCTGATTTCACTGGGGGGGCCGAAGCTAGCTACTTCCCACCAAGCCAGCCACTCTCCTAGAGCCATTGCCCCGGCTGCTGAGGCATTCCCTGCCTCCAGCTGCTTCCTGGCCTTGAAGACTCCAGCTGTCCCCGCTCTTGCCCCTGCTGGGGGCGGCGGCAGTCCAGGCTCCCTGCACCCAGCTCGGAGCATCTGTGACCCGCTCTTCTCGCCTCCTCTGAACCCGGCCCAGTCCCTGGCCCGCCAGCTGAGAGGGCTGCTTTCCTGCGTCTCCGACCAGCAGATCCGGGTTCCCAGGCTGGGGCGGGGGTGGGGAGCCGCTCTGGGATGCTAAACATCAAACAAGCCAAGCCTGGGGTTTCAGGCCCCGAAGCCACTAGAGCCTCTCTCCAGGGCTCTCGAGAAAGTCCTCGTGTTTACATGGCAGGGTGGGGGAGAAGGGGGGGGGATGTTGTCTGCAAAATCTCCCCTGTGCCCCCGAAGCCGCTGGGGCCTAGGGATGGGTGGGGTGCTTAGGCGGGGGCGCTCAGCTTTGCCCGGAACTCAGCGCGAACTACGTTGCCGCCACTCGTGGGCAAGCTTCCGGCTCTTCCAGGCACTTCAGCTGAAGGAGTGTCCCCAAAAGGCTGATTTCTCCCTCACAGGAGGCCAGAGCTGACCTGAACCAGAGATACTGGAGACCTAGGGGAGGTTCACTGGGAGAGAAGATACCATCCGCTTCGCAGAGACTGGCCAAGATGTGGGACTGGGGCTTATCCCTAGGTTGCTGTCTTTTGCTGCGACGAGGACTAGCGCGCACCTATTTCCCTAATAAGACGCTTCTAATTGTTTCCAGAGATGCTTCCTGCGGCTACAGTATCCAGGCCAGGAGCGGGAGCTGGTGGACCCCCCAAAGCCCTATTTTGTCTCCGGGTTGACGGATTGAATTTACCTTTCCTCAGGACAAGTAAACAAACTTCGTACTAGGCTGTCTCTTTCTAGATGGCAAGAAGAAAAATGCGTTTGATAGAAACTCCATCCACTGCAAAGGTTATAAAACTGAGAGTAGCACGGCTCATTAAAAGTGTGACTGTCAGGAACCAACTCTGGGCCAAGAGAGGGTGTGGATAGCAACCACCCTAGACATTTGCCAGGCACAGCCCATCTTGTCCCCATGCACGCTTGTGCTGGGCACAGGGCAGGTTCATCAGACGCTCCCCCACCCCCACCCCACCCCCATGGAATTGGGACCTTAGAGCCAATCCTCTCCCTGGACTCAGCTGGGTGACCTGACCACTTACACACCCTATCCTGAGACCACGGGGGCCCATTCCAGCATAAGTGTTCAAACTTCCTGGATTTTTCTCAAGTGGGAAAAACTTCCCCAGTGGGTCACCTTGTTTCCCAAAAGGAGATATTCCCCAACTGGCACACTCCCTAGACCCAACCAACTTTCCTTTCTGAACCTCTGAGTCTCTTCTGGGTATTGGAAACATATGTCAGCAGCTGGAGTCCTTGGGGAGAAGCCTGCCCTAGTGCCCAATCCTAAAGCATCACCAGCGAGAAGCCCCCAAGGAATTCAGCAAAGGGGACTTGAGTTACAGAACAAGGCCTGAGGCCTGGCGAGTTCTCTGACAAGTTACTGGAGGGTGAGGGTGGAGGTCAGGAAGAGAAGTGGAGATTCAATGAAATAAAAAGAAGAGAGGAAGTAATGAAGGGGAGAGGCAAGAAAGAAAAAAGTTGAAATTCTAGACAAGTAGTGAGTACATGGTAAATATGAAAGAATCCCCCACACTCAAACACTTTCAGGCCTAGGAAAAAACTGCCGGCAGGGGCCTGTGTCCGCAGCCCACTCTGTCACTTTTCCTCGCAGGCTTATCAGGCTGCGACATGGAAGGGACAACAGCCTGTCTGGGGAATACAATTTCTCTGTGTCCACCAGCACTACTTTCTCCTCCCCTCCCCAGGGCAACCCTGAGAGTTCCCCAGTAGCCACATATGGGCACCAAAGAGACCAGGAAATAAGAGATAAAAAGAAACATAAAAGATTTTTATTTCTTTTTTTTTTTTTTTACAGGGGGCAGGGTAGTCGGGAGAGGTGGAGAGTTGGGAACAAGTGAAAGATTCGTTACTACAAAGATTTAGGGGCCCAGAGATGGAAACTGGTAGAATAGAGAGCAAAAGTACAGCTTCCAAAGTCCTGCCTGATGGGGGCAGGAGGGTGTCCCCAGGCGGGGAGCCAAGCGGGTCACTTCCTGAGGCCAAGAGGCCCTGAGCAGTGGGGATCCGTGGCCAACCTGGGGTGAGGATAGCCATTTCAGAGTAGAAGCAAAGCTGGGAGGGACTTCTCCACTTTGGAAAACAATTTCCCACTGAACTCTAATTCCCAGGAGAGTGGGCTATGGATTAGAAGTAAAAGATGGATGTTAAAATCTACAGAGCAGTCAGTTTGGTAAAAATAATTGCTCATTCGGGGTTATTGGCTTAGCTATGCAAGACCACAGTGGACACTTCTGAGGTTTAAAAAAGCAGAAGCCTGCCTTTAAACACTAGTCCTTTGGTCTAGTTCTCTCCCTTTTTCCCTTTCCTTCCTCATGGAAGTAGTTTAGCTTTTCTCCTCTTTATGGTCGAGCCCCAGGGCTGCTCAAGGTTTGGTTCTACTGAGCGTGGAGGCAGAAGGCCAGGGCTGCTCAGCGGGTTCGGGCCCCTGTGTGCCCGTGGACAGTCCACATTCCCACCCCATCTGGACACTGAAGAGTATGCTCCCCAACCAAAAATGCCATTTAAAGCCAAATCAAAACCAAACAAAAGGTGGGTTTTTAATCAGAAAAGGCATCTTTTTAATTTGTATAATTTATTAGAAGCTTCTTAAGAACTATATTTAAGCCAGATATCTACATAAGTTACAACAGAAAAAGACTGACGTTTCAAATACCAAACTGCCAAATAATATACACAGATTTGTCAGTGCCCAAAAAAATTACGATGGGCAGGGGGTGGGAATGGTTTTTTTTTTTTTTTAACAACAAAATGTACAGATTACTAAAAACTAGGCGTTTAGTCCAACTTTTGACAGGGTTTTACAGCTACGAGTTCACATCAAACATAAAACAGTTTTAGCCAGGGCTGGCAGGCTGAGCCTGGGCAGCAGAGTTTGCTGGGAGGGGGCATTTCCTTTGTGTCACTGACAAGCGGGTTGTGTAGAACTGTCTTTCCTCTCCCCAGCCCCGACTCCCCTTCAAAGAAATTCTGGTATTTACAAGCGAGTCCACTTTGCTGGCACTGGGAACCCAGAATGAAGTTTGCGACCTTTGGAGTCCAGAGCCATGCCAGCACAGATCCCGCTCCAAACTCTGCCCATCCGGGCGTGGGAGGCCTGTCTGAATCACCTAAAGGACACCCCGAAAGTTGTTCTTATGTCCGTTTCTGTTGAAAGGCTCTTTAAAGAACTGGATTCGCTTAGCTGTTTTTATTTTCTTTTTTAAAAAAAATCCCACAGATTTTAGAAGAAAAAAGAAAAAGGAAAGACGTCCAGCAGTTTGGCCTTTGTGTTTTTTCCCTTGGTCTAAACCGGACAGGGTCTTAAGAAAAGCCGAAGCGCTTGGAGAGCCGGGTGGTTGACGTGTGTGGCGGGCAAGAGGGGAAGCGACGAGGCAGTGTGCTGGGCAAGCTGCAGCCCAGCGTCCTCTCACCAGGTCCGACCATATAGCAAGGTGGAGCAGGACATGGTGCCGTAGTCCGAGCCCGAGGAGTTCAGGTGGGACAGGCTGGAGACCTGGCCCTGCAGCGCCACGGGGCTGGCAGCGTGGTGCGCCAGGTCCGGAGACTGGCCGGCGCTGCCCGGCTGGTGGCCCGGGTGTGCACCCAGGCCGGGACCGCCGCTGCCAACCGAGATCGCCGCCGCCGCCGCCTGAGCGGCCTGCGCCTGCTGTTGAGCCTGCTGCTGCGCGTGGCCTTGCAGGCTGGCTGCCCCAGTGGCCGGGGCGCCCGCTTGGCAGGGTTTGCCGTCTTTCACTAGAACCGGCACCGCCACACGGCGTGGCGACTGCTGCTGCGCTTGCTGCTGCTGTGGGCACCCAGCGCCCCCTCCACCGCCGCCACTGTCCTGCTGTAGTTGCTGCTGCGCAGCCTTGTCCTTGGCTTGGCGCTTCATTTTGTAGCGGTGGTTCTGGAACCAGATCTTGACCTGCGTGGGTGTCAGGTGGATCATGCTGGCCAGGTGCTCCCGCTCCGGAGCTGACAGGTATTTCTGTTGCTTGAAGCGTCGCTCCAGCTCGTACACTTGCGCCTGGGAGAAGAGCACCCGGCGCTTCCGGCGCGGTGCACTTGGCAACGGGGCCATGTTCTTGCTCACGTCCCCCAGTGAGCCCAGGCCGCCCATGCCGCTCATGTTCATGCCGCTCGCCGGGCCCATGAAGCGGGAGACTGTAAGCGACAAACGCACAGCGTCGGCCGGGGGCCAGGCCGGGCCAGGCCACCTCTTCCTTCTGAGCCTTTGGCTGGCCGGGCCGGGCCCCCGACGGCACCCTCCTCACCTAGGCCGCCTCACCCAGAGAGGCCCAGCTGCGGGGATCTCCAGAGCCTGCCCTAGCCATGCCGTCGTGGAGAGCTCCCACCTCAAACCCTGCTACCTCCCTCGGTCTCAGTGCTCCACCCCAAAAGTACAGTTAGTACCCAAACCCTGGCTGGAGTTAACGGGGTTAACGGGCCACCGGCGGCGAACTGGGCCCAGGCCAGGAGGTGGGTTTCCACGGTACGACTCTAATTTGGGGAGTTTAGGAGATAGAGGTATTTAGAAAGCTAGAGGCCCCAGACGCTTTGCTTTGCCTCTTGCCTGCGCTCGCCTGTCAGCCCCGGTGCTGGCACTTGCTTGGCCCATTTAGATCCCGCTCCGGAGCTGCGCGCCCTCCCACCTGATTAGACTGGAGAGAGGCCGCCCCGGAGCCTGAGCGCGTCCTTGCCTGGCAGCCTCCCGCCCCACCAGGCCACATCTCTCTGCGCCTGCTTTCCCCCCGACTCCCTAAGTTGGGGAGGCACCTTCTTCGGCACTGCGAGGTCTCCAGCGCAGAGCAGAGCTGCCGGTTGGCTGCATCTGGGAGACACCGAATACTAGCGCCGGCCCCCCACCCCCAGGTCCCGATACCATAAGTCTGTTCTTGGACCCCTAAGCCCAGCAGGAAGAAGAATCAATCCTCAACTCCCGCGCCCGACTCCCTGGCGCCGCTGCCGGGCGCCGACCCTGATGCCCGGGGCACAGCCCGCAGGCGCCGCGCCCCTCGGGCGGCCGTCCCCGCTCCTCCCGCGCGTAGCACGCAGCCCCTCAGCAGGGCGGCCTCACTTACTGGCGGGGAAGCGCGGGTCTGGGTTGGCTCCGTACCATCCGGGGCCCGAGGCGGTGTTCCGCATGGTGTCCTGGTAGGGAGGCAGCTCGCTCATGTTGCCCAGGTTGCCGTTGCAGTAGCCCCCCACGGCGGAGTGCGAGAGCTGGGGCACCCCTGTTGCTGTCATGTGGTAGGCGGCGGTGACCGCGCCGTGGTGTCCCACGGCGTGCTGCTGCATGGCCGCGGCCGGCGGTGCCGCCTGGCCCTGCCTGTAAGCCGCCAGCGGAGCCCCAAGGCCGCCGCCCTCCATGCCCACTTTCTTGTAGCTTTCCTCCAGGGGACTCAAGATGTCAGACACTGAGAACGGAGTCGTGTGCTTTGGACTCATCGACATGATTCGGCGGCGGCTGGAGGAGGAAGGAAGAGGAGGAAAAAAAAGGGAGAGGGGGAAGGCGAAGACTCGCTGCTTTTTTTTTTCTCCCTCTGCCAAATATTCTGGTGTTACCTTAACGCCGATCTTGTTGGATGTACACGTAACCGAGTGGACCGAGTCCGCCTTAATTGGCTTGAGTGGAGGCTCGGGGGCTGCCTCGCGTTTGTTTTAGCCCGGCGCCAGGTTTTAGGCAGCTACCAGAGGCGGGGCATAAGCGCTAAAGCAACAAGACAATAGAAGCCTACATCTTGCCCGAGATAATTAGCTTACATGCTGATGACAAGGTAAACACCTTTAAGTTTCACTTGTCAGGATTTTTAGGTCTCAAAGAGGGAGAGAGAGAGAGAGAGAGGCAGAGACGCGACCCAAAGCATTTCTTCCCCCCTCCCCCGGACACCCCCACCCCTATATTTTGTGGGGTGCCAGTGGCGCGCGGGGGAGGGTGAGGCGGGGGAGGGAGGGAGGAGGGCACGGAGAGTGGGAGGGCAAGAGGTGGGGTAGGGAGTAGCCGAGGAGGAGGGATAGCGGTGAGAAAGGAAGGTGAATGCTGCTTTGCAACCAACTTTCCGAGTTACAAAGTGAACCACTTTTCAGTTCGGTGGGGTTCCCCGGGGCGAAGACAGGTGTTTAAAGGGAGGGGGCTAAGGGCTGGGTTGGGGGTTTCACCTGAGCCGTCTGGGGCTGCTCTTCCCTCCCGCCGCGGCCTCCCAGCCCCGAGCCTTCCCACTGCCTCCGGACCACATCCGGCTTCTCAGCGCCGGGCCCCAGTCGCCACCAAGTGAGCTTGAGAGTCTGGGGACGAACCCTGAGGCCGCACTGTTGGCTGCGTGTCTGTCAGTCTGTCTGCTTCTTCTGCTACCGTCAGAGGGACACCTCTGATCCCCGCCCCCTTTCCCTCTACCCAAGAGACATTCCCCAGCGGGAGCTGGGCAGGGGATCGGCTGCCGGCGGCGGAAGGCAGTCCCAGATCCCCGCGTCCTCCTTCCCCCCAGCTCAGGGTCTTCTTTGGCGGAACTGGGTCCCCTCCTCCGCATCACGCCACCCCCTCCTTACATTCGGCTCCCCTCCCCACCCCACCCCACCCCGGCCGAGACAAACGCATCACTGGCAGTTGGAGATGGGAGGCTGGAGGGGGATTAACGCGGGGGCCATCGCTTAAATTGCCCCACCTCGAACAAACCTGGTGTCCCCGACCCTCGCCCAGCGCCTGGACGCGCGGGGTTCTGGAGCTGACTTTCCAAGGACATCACAGCCCCAGCACCCGAGCCCAGGGCCACGCTGATTTCCCCTCTGATGCTTCAGGGAGGGTGCGGGCAGGGAGCGTCCTGAGTGAACTGAGCCTGAACCCCGGCCGGCCCAGCTGGCCAGGAGGGGGCGAATCCCGAGGCGCGAGCAGCCCAGCAGGCGGGAGGCTGGGCTGGGGCTCTCCTCTGCCCAGAGCTCAGCCATGCAAAAGTGCACTTGCTTCCCCGGGAATAACCAAATATCTTTGTTTAAAGTGGCGGCGTAAATGGCCAGTCGCTTTGTGGCCACGCTGGATATTAGTAGATGAGGATCATTCTGCTTCAATTGGACGCCTCTCATCCAGTGAGCAAGAAACTGCTTAGGAGGAAGTGGGTTTCCTGTCTGCGCGTTCCCAGGCTTTAAGTGTGAGCCCCGTGCCTTGAGGGTCCTTGGGCACCTGAAGAGGAGGAGCTGCGCTCCCCAGCCCCGCCGAGGCATCTGCCTCGCTGCTCCGGCCAGGCCCAGCCTTCTGGTGGAGCAGACCATAGGACGTAGCCCTGCGCGGCGCAAATCCTGAGACCCACTCCGATTTTTGCCCTTGGATTTTAAAGGTCTTGTCCCTTTGTTTTATGTTCTTTGCCTGTTTTGGCCTCGTCTCTGCCCTAGGGGCTGGGAGGGGAAGCGTTCCCCGGCTGGGCTGGGGGCTCCAAGGCACCGCGGGGGGCCGGTTATGGAGGCTGCTCGAATTTGGTTTTTGTTTTCACATTGTCTTTCCCATCCTTGTAAAGAAGGGACTCCCAAGGATGAACAGGCACTTTGAAAGATATAATTCAGCAGGTTAGGCGCCTTTTCCATTAACAGCGGTTGTAGTAGGAAAGTTTTTTTATTGGCTGTTTATTTCAATCCTCTCCTTGAGGAGTGCTCTGCACCCCTCCACACAAAGCCAACTTCTATACTAACATTCACCTTCCTCACCACCTACGACCGTTCCTAGGGGAAGAAAGCTCGGAGCACCCCTACCCCCATGGTGTGGGCCCGTGTTTCTGTGTGGCCCCCTTGGCGGCTTTGGAGCCAGCAACCCTGCGTCTCCACGCCAGAGGCGCCTGCTGGTTGTGCTGCGAAGACAGGCACCTCGCCGGCTCCTTGCCCTTCCTTCCAATGGGGTTTCTCTGGGGGGGGGGGCGCTCTCAGGAAGCACTTAGACCCCATCAACTGTGCTTTCGTCAATGTCGTTGTCTAAACCTAGGGAGCAACGAAGGAAGACCACGTTGGGCTCAAGTGAACGGTGGAAACAGCGCAGATCTTATCTGCAGGCAGGACCCCAGCCTCAGGCCTGTGCCTCCAGCGAGGTCTTAATGCCAAGGCGGGGGTGGGTTTCCCAGTTACCCGTCTTTTTTTTTCCCTTTCTTTCTCTACGCTATGTCATACAATGGGTAAGTGAAAGAAACACCAAGTGCAGAACGGTTCTCCCAATTTCAATGCAATTTAGAAATAAAGGTAATTCTTCACAAGATTTTTTGTGAGATTCAAGTAAGATTGGGCAAACAAAAGTGCTTTGGAAGCTTTGAAATGTTTAAGTTCAATGTCAGCGCTGGAGATTTCTTCTATATCATTACCATCAGTACCTCTTCACCCGTAAGACCTAAAGCTGAGTGAAGGGGTGAGTTGGGTGTATCTTCCACAGTCCCTGAGCCTTTCCTCCTCTGCCCTGGTCCCTCGGCTGATTTCCAGTTCCGCATCAGGCTCTCGGCCAACGCAAGTGGCTGGCGGCTCCCCGCCTACACCCTCACCCCAGGCCTGCAGGGGGGACAAGCACTGGGAGCCATGCTGCAGGGATTGGGTCAGGGCGCTGAGCATGAGAGCGGGATCTGGAAGGAAGGGGTTGGGTGGGCAGGCCACTGCTTCTGCACCACCCTCTCTCCGAAACCAGGATTGTGCTGCAACCTTCTCCCCCCTCCACTGCTCGCCCCCACCCCTTGCTGCCGCACACCAGCACCAACCCTCTTCTAGATTTGGGCTGGGTCTCTCTCTCTTTCTCTCTCTCTCTCTCTCTCACACACACACACACTCACCACTCTACACTCTTTCCTACATGCCCTGCACTGTCAAGAATGAGCCCAAAAACTAGTGTCTTGTGGAGAAAAAGAAGATATCTATATTTCCGAGCTTGTCCAAGAAAAGTCCAAAGACCTTGAGAGTCCCTTTCCTGGCCCCAACACCACTGCCTGGTCAAATGGTGTTCTTTCAGTCACCTCTTGGACTCAACTTTAACAGGACGGACCCCAGCTAAACCAATAATTTCTTGATATCTGCAGGAGATAATTGGGAACCCCGAGTCCACCCTGCAGGGCCAGCGCATCTTCCTTTATCCCTCAACTAACACATTCTGGGGCGGCGGCAGGGCAGGGCCCAGTTCTGATCTCTCAAGGAGCTTTCCCAGGCGTAGCTGCACACGCGGGTCTCAGTCCGGCCACGATGCTTTGCTACCTCTAATCCGCCTAGGATATAGGACTCCAGGAGGCACAGACCTAGGCCTGGTCAAGGATGTTTGGCATTGCCATCCCCTTTTGCTAACCACCCGCGTGGCCAAAAGCAACCGCCCTTTTCTCCTTCCCTGGTCACTTCTTGAGATTTCAGAAGAGCGGGCTCCTACAGAAGATGAAGCTCAGACCTGGGATGAGAAGGAAATACCCGTTCTCAGCCCTGTCTCCCCCCACCACCACATTTTTCTAATTCCCTTCTTAGTCCTTCACACCTCCTCTTGGGCAGTGGCGAGCGACCTTATTTCCTGGTGGTGTTATTTTGCTCCGAGTTTTATCGCAATCGGTGAATCATTCCACAAACAATTATTGAGTGCCGGCAGCTCTGCCAGGCTCTATGCCAGGCCTGAAAACCCGGCCTCCAACAAACAAGACGTGGCCCCTACATACGTTGAGTTTACAAATTAACAATAAATCACCCAAATAATATGTAGTTATTTGGTGACAGTTGTTACTCCAGAATCCGATGTAGATAGAGTTATGAAGCTCTGTGTGGGTTTCTACACCATTGCCCAATCTTCAAGCACTCGGGGGTGGTGGGCAGAGCACTTGGATATAAGTCAGAAGTTCTGGGATTGCAGCCTGGTTTTGCCACTTTCCAGCTATGTGGGTGTAGCTCTTATGGACCCCCGCCGCACTCTGGAGCCGCTCCAGTCACAGCCAGAATAAAACAGAATGTTGTTTTCTGCCTCCTTTCTCCGGCAAGACCCTATTTTATTTATCTTTGATGCCCCCAGTGCCTCAAGAAATGTTGAATTAAGAAAATAAAGCCTCTAAGCACCTGTTTCCTGAGCTGTAAAAATGGCTATAACATGCCCTGTGTTGTGCTAAAGATCCAAGTATTTAAGGATGAGATCATGTGTGTGAGTGTGTAAATCATAACAATCGATAGCAAACGGAAGGGGTTATTTCTTCTAGTTCTGCACCTGGGGCTTATAGAAACTGTGAATCCAGGACTCTAACTCTGCATGAAGCTCTCGGGTCCCTCATCTGCTCCTGGGCCCAGGCTTATAGAGGGTGAATTTTCCTCAGCCAAGGGCAGGCTCCAGAGCCAGACTGAGCTAGGCTCCCGGGTGCCTTCCAGGCAAGCCAGCCCAGGGAGCAGAAAGCCAGAACGCAACCCGGCGCTGGGGATCGCTACTCTCCAATATGATACATCCAAAGAATGGAAACAGAATTCTCTGGAGAGCATCTTCCTCATCCTTAAGGATCTCACAGAACCCCATTGGCCCTTTTCACAGGCACCAGGATCGAGAAGCTCTGACCGTGCGCAGCCAGGGGATGTGCAATAGGACAGCTTTCTCAGGGAATCCAGGAAGAGATATTCCGAGACCCGCGCTAAAGTGCGCTCCCTCCAGCGCTTCCAGTCTCAGCTTGACTGTCTAGGGTCTTGGTGGGAGACCTGTCTTTTGGTGGCCCTCTACTCAAATCGTGGCTGCTGGGTGGGCCCTGGGGGCAGGAAGGGGTGGGGTGGCCAGAGGACGTCGGACTGAGGCCCCTGTGCAGTTCCCTCTCTGCTCCCGCGTGCTTTGGGGTTGGAATAGGAGGCGGGGTAGTGAATTGAAGGCCAGGTTCCTCTTGGAGAAGAGGAGAGTCTCACCTTGAGGCCTTCAGGATCCAAGAGCCCTGTCCTCTGTCAGTCAAGCCCTCCAAGAGGTTGACACCTGCGTGGTCTTGAAACCCACCTATTTTCGTGTCATACAAGTGAAGCCTAGATTCAACTTGTTCCAAGGTATGTGTAGTCAGAATCCCTACCCTCTTTAGTAACTCCAGGGATGCCCCCTGGCGGGAAGGAGTCTGGGGTAGGAACGAATTTGGGGACTGGGTTACAATGCAGAGATTGGGGGACTAAGTCGGCGCTAGCAGCACTCTTTGAGATTCAGAGAAACCGAGACAGAGGTGGGAAGTCGGGGATATGTGCCTCTAGCTGCTCTGAGATCCAGCGAATTCGCTGCAGGACACTACAGGAGACAGATGCACAGAGCCCCACAGCGAATTGGCTTGTTTCTGCCCAGTTCTTCGTTACTGTTTAAATTAAGAGACTCTAAGAGGGTGAGGGAGGGGGTAGTTGTGATTCCATCATACTCTGGACAAATGGGAAGGCTCCATCCTACGGAGCAGGGATACCCTTGGAGGAATCTTGCGGTGCGCGCAGCTTGGAGGAAAGTTTTGCAGCCGCTGCTGAGAAAGGACGGGTGCTGGAAGGATTCTCAGGACAGTAAAGCTGTATTGCCCCCGGATCTGCACAATCTCATTCAACTTTAGAGAGCAGAAACCTGCAGTTTTTTCCACCTTCCATCTCGCATCAAACTGCAGCCCAGCAGTGCGCGCCCATGGACTTGAGTGTTCGCATTTCTCGTGGAGTCGCTAGCAGCACTACGGTTTCTTTCTCTGCTCCTATCTCCTTTCCAACCTCCCATCCTTCCCCCAGCCCCAAACATTGGGTGGGGAAAAATTTCAGGTAGCCGCAGTAGCAGCTCCAG